CAAGGCCCATCTGTTTAACTAGGCTTTTGCCTGATACTTACATGGGGAGAATTGGCAAGTGTAAGTGTGAATTTGAATACCAGATATAGGCTATTTTAAGCTGAATTTATCCTTAATAAATTAGCCCAGAGGTGTTCAGCAATAGGTAGTTTTGGAAAATTATCATAATTTGCATGGAAGACTATGCTTTTTAAAAGTTGAGTAGTGTGTGATAACCGGAAGACATAGACCCCAGAAGTTCATCTTTGGTAGTATTTCTGTTTCTTCAGGTCTCACCATGAAGGAGGGCAGAGACTTAAATAAATGCTTTTGATATGCTGGAAGGCAAACTAGTCTGTATACATTTCATCAGATACAAAACTAACTTGAGAGCAAATAATACATAAATTTTTCTTGGGAGTATGTGTTAAAGCAGTCGGCATTTAGGACCAAGGGTTGTCAATCTTTGAGGTTTCTGAAAGGAATTGCAATTTATGACGTGTTAGGGTAAACAGTTGGATTACATTTCTGAAATACATGTTCCATCAGGTAAAATCATTGTGATTACAGGCACTGGAACTGTAAGTAAGTAAGTTATGTGCTAAAAGGTTGAAAATGTAAAACAAGTATGCTTGTGCTTAAATCCTAATCCCTCTTTGTATCTCTGCTGAATAAACTACAAGGGAAAAAAAAACAGTGTTTAAATTAAAACAGAAAAAATGAATTATGTCAGTTTGAAATATAATAAGCATTAATATAGTACAAGGAACTGTTTTCATCAGTGGTCTAGCCAGGAGAGAATATTTCAGAATTTAGAATTCTGAAAGATTATGAAGACGTTAAGTGAGCCAAAAGTCTCTTCTTTTGTTTATATTCTTTTATTTTTCTTAATTTCTACTTCATTTTCGGATATGTCATATATAAATGCACAGGTTGTCATTTTAACAACCAGGCTCCATTGTTCAAAAGGCATCGCAAATAAAAGCAAAGGAAGAGAGTGGTTTTAAGAGTTTTGCATATGTTTGACAGCAGAAGATAATAAATATAAATAAATCTTAATATTTCTCCTAATTCAGTTTGTGCCATGCAAATGTCAGGACTATAAAAACAAATCAACAAACATTTGAAGGAAAACAATATACATAACTTATTTTATATATTAAAAACAACTGTCAAACAATTATGATCTCATGTATTAGTTGGTTGTTTTGAAATATTCCTACTAGAATTAAAAAATGCTATGAGGGCCTTTGAGCTTAAACATATTGTGTCAATCAAGAGCATATGTAATATATCTAAAGCATAAGGTAAAAATTTTCTTCATAAATTATTTCATAAATAAATAAGTAATTTGCTTGAAAAAGTTTATGAAAATATTTGTGCTTTTATTAAGTTCTCTACAGATCTTTTGTGGTTAATTTAAATGGATTGATATAGACAGCATTTTGATCTGCTCTACTCTGACTTGAAATACAAAAGTAACATGAAGAGATTCTTCATTCTCAGGCAAACTTCAGGAAAATCGAGTCCGTGAAACTTCATTCATTAAAATTTTAAGTGACCATGAATTTGTTGGCTTCAATACCTGAAGTGCAACTTTATCCTTTCAATTAAGGGACGTAAGTCACCCTCAGACCTTTGGCCTTAACTTTTCATACAAAATACATAATTCTGGGTAAACTTAATGGTGAAGTTTGGTATTATTACAGGTGGAAAAATACCAACCATCTCAAGGGTTTTGTGCTTGCAAAAGCATGTAATTTAATTTTTTTGAACCAATTTGTTTCATGTGAATCAATTTACACTCCTGAAAGTTGCCTGAGATTTGAGGGTGACTGAGAGGAAGATCATGGCTCCTTTTAAAAAGTCATTTAAAATTTGGGGAGCAAAAGGGATTAGGACACTAATCTTTGTGATGGGTCATACTATTTAACTTTGCTCCTAAGATGCTATATAGCCTTAGATTTGATCAGTTAGACACCAATTTCAGCAGTTTTGCGTAGTATTAACCCTTTAATACAGTTTTACTTAAGTGTTGAGATACATATTTCAAAATCTATGTGATCTAATATTTTTAGTTAGTCATGGCTAAAGAATGTTTCCTGCAGCTCCTTATTATTATTTTTTTTTTCTGGATAAAAGTGGTTCACACTGTGCCGTGCATATTTCCATAAAAGTCGGCAAGTTAATTTATGGTTTAAAAAGGAAAATAAAAGGTCTCTATTTAATATATGAATACTTTTTACAGTGGACACTAGTAAATGACTCTAGTGTGGAAATATGCAGGTGGTCATTAGGAGCTGACTATGAGATTTACTTAAGATTGTGATATTAATTTTCCCTGCTAACAGGGCTGTATATAAATCTAACTCTGCATCTAAATTAATTTCAATTGATGATAACATATGAATAACTCCATGCATATGAGGATCATTGTCTTCTCCCTCCTTTAGGGAATATATTGTTTGTCTCATTGTGAAATTGTATTTTGACTAGTTTTTCACCTGACTAGTTTCTCTATTGCAAAAGAGTAATTGCTTTTTTTTTTTTTTTAACTCATAAAGAGTGTATAGGGCACACTACTAAAATATTTCTGGAATAAATATGCTACAAAATGAACTACCTATCTTTCTGATTAGGTATTTTAAGTAGAAATAAAGACCTGACAGGAAAAGGATGAGAATTGTTAAAGCACACACTTCATTTTTAAACGTTTTTATGATTGGCTTTTCCACTTCCGATAGTAGTATATTTCGAAAATATATTCATCCTTCTTCTAAAGAGATGCAAGTATAATTTAATGAAAAAAAATATTTTGCAGAAAATTCCTACATCATCGGCTTATTAATTCATGATTTTAAAAACCTTCCTAAAATCCTATTTTTAAACATTTTGTAGTTTTCAGAAGGAAGGATGTTTCTCTTTTGAGCACAAAATTAAGTTTAAACTGACTTTCATCAGAAGGAAACATACAACTTAAAGCCACTCAGTTGAAAAAAATAGTCCAACCGCTCAATACAGGCTTACTTAGTTTAACACCTTCTATACTATGAATCCTGTCATGGTAATAATGTTTTATGCATTGTGATCTTTGAAAGTTAAAAAACCAAAACAAAAACCCTTCAATTATGTAATTTTATGTTGAGGGAATTTGACTTAACAATGAGCGTATTTGGGGATGTAAAGTAGTAAAGGAAATGTCAGGCTTAATTCAGTTTCTTATCTGCTACTAAAATCCCAAACAGCAGCAGGTATTAATCTCACGGCCTTTGCAGACTGTTCTTATTTTATCTATTTTGCGGTACCCCCTTAAAGCTCCCATGGAGTTTTGCTGCCTTCTCCCTAGCACAGAAAACCATAGCAACCTCAGTTCTCACTTCTCCAACTCAGGATAGAGTTCAAGTTGTTCTTCTCAAGCCCTCTAGCCATCCAATGCTTGGAAAACACTGACCACGGACGAGGAGTCCTCAGACTTCTTCAGGCCCCAGAAAAAGGGCGGGGGTGGGGGGGGGCTCACATGCACACATACACAAATCTCGCGTCGTTTAATTGGGAGGGGAAGGTAAAGTAACAACCGAAAAGGTAGCAGCACTTTGAGAGTTCTTTGGATTGTTCATGCTCGCATCTCCAAGTGTTTGGGGCACGTCGATTTGGCCATCACTCCGTGCCCCCCACCTGCCCCCACCCCTCTAAGGTAGGTCCTGGTATTGATCCCATTATGCCTCCAGCTTAAGATCTGTCCTGCGTTTCCAGCCCGCACGTTCGCACTTGGGGGGG